TGCAATCATTGCTTTTCAACACCCAACTACATAATATATTCTCCTGTGCACGTCAAAAACATTACCTTACTACTGTAATTTCATGAATGTACTGTGTGTGACATTGTGAATCGTGTTCCGAACCAAAGTGTAAACACCCTATGGGATTTGAGAAAGCGAAGTCTTTGTAAGTTTTATCCCATAACAAAAATTTGAATTTGAATTTGAATAAGTCGGCATCAATGTTTTTCGGCTCATCCCCAATCACATATGGCTCGGACAGACGAGTGTGAAATTATAATTTAAACACCAGTCCCTCCCGGTCGCACAAATTAGCCAATGAAAAAAGGAATTCTCCGGGGAAATGGTGGTATATTGTTCTAATGGGTCGTGGGAATTTCGTAAGGAAGCTTAACTGTTGGACATGAAATCAATATTGAAGTAGAGGTAAGAGGTAAGGATTTGTGGAAGACCAAATATGCGTCACATTAATGACTCATCATCAACATAGACAATACACTACAGATTTCTTTCAGAGTGAATAGTTCCATAGTCTCCGTGGTACCTTTGGGCACACAAAGCGTGAGTCAGAGCAGAAACTCCGCCCGACTGTCATGTCCAGTTCAGTGAAACTGCTTGATTAAGTTCCGATTATTGGGCTCTTGAAGGTGTAGTTCCGGTCGTGTGATCCGCTTTGAAAACTATCAACAGACGGAAAATCCCTATTGTTTTGTTTACTAGTTTTTGGATATGACCAACAAATTTACAAACGGTATTAGAAACTAATTTTCATTAACTGTTTGGGCGTAAACCACTCTAATGTCATCCGCTCTCTGCGAGGAGGAAGGAAATCGATCAAGCGTGATCATATCGCAGTTGATAGAATAAACCGCTCCCGAAACTTATTTCAACTCAAAAGTTTAATTAAACCAAAAGCTCTATTGAAAAATCATTTGAGAAATACATTTCACTTTGTCCCTGTATTATGTTTAATAGCAGGGTATGAGCAATCATATAGAGCGATTGAGGAACTGAAGCCATACCCCGGGATGATCGATAAAACAAACCGAGTGACCGCTATTGGCTAAGTAAGGTTAACCGCATTCAATGGGTCTTAGGAAATGGAACCGGAGGAGCATGGTTGTTGTAGTTTACTAGTCATTTGGCGGTTAGCTGACCTGTATTGTCGTGGCGCTAAGCGGTTAGTTGAGATTCCTGAGGACCAAGTCACTTTGATGAATACGTCTTAGCAACACAACAAAGGCATTCAGGTAGCAGAGCCGTTTACAGCCACACATTTGAGTGACACTTGTCATTCATACATAATTTAAATAAACATGAAAAGCACCTCCCAGCCCCGCTATGTGTGTCTCGTGAGGTACACCACATTCACACATACACACACACACACAGAGGAGAGATGAAACTAATCCTCGAAGTGTAGCCAATCTATTTTAGATCTGTCGCCGAATCGGGATATATACAATCAGAGAACACAATGCATGGGCGCGCGCGCACACACACACGCGCGCATTCGAAGCCATAGCCACTGCGTACTTGAACCACCTGAGCAGACGAAGCACATGCAAATGACTCAAGCGATAGAGACCGAACCTATGCGCAACACCACCACCCAACGAAACCGCCAACAGCATCTTCTGACTGCACTGTAGCAGACCAATGTGTCACACTCGAACAGTACTTCTTTCCCAGCTGGTGGGCGGTGAAATCTGTGTGCGGCGAGAGACTTTTGTGCACACATCGTTCAGTCGGTTATCAAACCGGTTGGTATCGGTTGTCCACATCATCCAATGCACAGAAAGGTTAGGATTTGTCCACATGGATCTGTATTCACTTGGTTGCGTAGACCTAGGCACGTGTGCGTAACGAACGCGTCCGTGAAAAGTTTCACGACAATTCGCTGGGCTGCCAGGTGCACACGGACGACTGGGTGCACAGTTACACGTATTTTCTATGACTGACCACCGCACGACACACAGTGTGTATGTGTGTGCATAGAACGACTGGAAAGACAACTAGTTGACTGTTCATGTGAACAGTCGAAGATCGATCGAAACTGGTGGTCTGCGCATTATACGCACAGTAAAGAATCATCGCAAAGCGATGGGGAGAGGGTGACAATTGAGAGAACAATGCAAACAAATCGAATGTTGCAACATAAACCTACTCGTTGATTCATTCTGCCTCGCTACCTCACTAGCACCGTTATCAGGACCAGTTAAACAAATAAGGTATCGATTATTATTTCCGACGTGCTTGTACGAATGAGCATAGCAATCCACAAATCAGGACCACGGACTGAAATGCGATCCTCGTTTTACCGAGCGCTGTAAACCCAAGATGGTGATTTTATCCAGCCAATTTGGAGTATAATCTAATCAACAAAGAAATATACTGAAATAATACCCCCTCGAACTCGATAGGATGGCGCTGTGATTCGTGACGAAACGCGGGCACAAATCTAACAAACCGATGAGCTTCAAACAAAACATCGTAGTCATTCCGAATGTTGCCCTTCTCAGTCAAATAGGTAACACAGTTAGGAGGCGTACGAACCACACACACACACACCCACACACACACACACATCTTCCCGATTGTAGCAGTGGACATCGGCTCGATTGGGCATTGAGGTGTATTGGTCACCTTTGACCTCGTCCAAAGGGCGTAATGATCCGATGAACTGGACACCGACCCCCCCCCTCCCCCAATGGATTGCGGTTTTCACATACCGCCCCGCTGCCATGCGGGTCAGGCTTTGATTAGCCAAAGGCTCCGGTTGTGGATTCCTCAGGAAAATCCATCTGCCTTGACCTGGGCAACCTGGCAGTATTTAACCCACATGCGTATCGTGGATCGTTTTTTCTTTTTTTATAAAGATTATTTTACCATGATTTGTTTGGCACCTACAGTCTGGCGTCAGACGTATGTGAAAAGATAATAAATATAATAAATCGGTCACACACAAACCAAATCCATTAGGACCTCAAATACACTAGGACGTTTTAGTACGGGACAAAAAAATCCATACATTTTTCAAATCAACGTGACACCGGAATCCCCAATCAGGAATAATGTCCCTTCGAATTAAAATATTCCACTTGGATGGTGGATTCAGCGTGGCATCCATATCGACGCAAAGCACTAGCTATACCACACCTATATTGTGAAAAATGCTCGGCAGAGTATACATATCTGGAGGGATTTAAATCCAGGCACGTACAATGTTGTTCTTCCAACACACTCTCTTCAGGCTGCCCCGTTCGGCTGTCACCAGAAATTTACGTTCTGTATGAAATAAGCTAATTAATTAACATTCGAAAATTGCAAAAATGTGTGATTCAGATAACAAGATCACGTGAAGCGATAGTAGAAGACACAAAATTGGGCTGTTAAACCAAATGACACCGACCACATAGCCGGAGGAGAGGGGTAGACGGGCGAGGGAAATAAAAAGCAAACAGACCAAACCCACCTCAGTCTGAGTTGCCGAGTGATTGCATGAAGGTAACCGTCGCAGTTCTTCTTCCATCTAAACGAAGCGGAAGAAGAAGAAATGATGATGATGATGATGACGATAGTATTCGTCAAAAACGAATAATAACCGGAGCAACGTACCATCGCTTTCTGATTTTCCACTTCAAGTATTTGAAAATCCAGCAGTTCCAATTGTTCCTTCATTTCCACTTTGGTCAATTCGAGTCGTTCAATTTTCTTGGCCGATTCGTATAGCTACATTATGTGTTTGTGTGGGCAGGTGTGTGTGTGTGACGAGAGAAAAGAGGATTGAATTGATGCTGTACTCGGATCATAAATGTTTTCTTGACCAAAAAGTGCATCCATCCCATTGATCGAGCAGATTAACCAATCAACTTGATTAATTAACTGTACCTGATTTAAAAGCTTTTTATTCTGTCGTATCAGATAGCGTCTTTCCTCCGCTTCACGTGGATCCTGCAAATAGGGATGCAGAAAATGTAATGAGTCTGGGATAGCCGAAGAAGAGTTACAGATACAAATGAATGGAGCAATCTGTGACTTGTCTGTGCGGCGGTGGAAGACGTCACGTTGCGTTGGGCTGCTGATCACAGAGATATAGAGAAACAATCGAACCGCGGATGAACTGGGCAACGGGCACGAGTAAAAATCATGTTTCATCGGAGCTAGTTTCACAGGGAATTTTAGTCTTCTCAAATTAGAACTTCCGTGGGTCTCTCCAAGTCTGACTGAAAAGATCAGACAGTTTGACCAAATGTGATGAGTCGTCACCTGTACTTGGATTAATATGATCCATAGTCTACTGTTGTCTCTCGTGTGCACCTCATCCGATAGTACGCCGTCAGGGCTAGTGAACAAAATCAGACGGTGACGGACCACTACTACTTTGAACCATGTTGTAAAATGGCATTTCATGCGGCAAATTTTCAAAGCAATAAACGGAGATAGTATGAAATGAGACAAATTTCAAAAAATAATAAACGGATCCCTGACAACGGCATGGTAGTTGTGAGGGATAAAGTCGTCTGTTCTGAAAGCGAACTACTCGTAACTACTCTCCGAATTATCAGAGGTTGTTTGCAAGGATAAACTGTCCCAAAATGTAGCACACCGAAAGACCTAACATTTGTACGAGGCTATCTGATAACATGGATATGATAAAAGTAAACTTTATGTCCGGTCCAGATGGAAGTAACCAATATTGCCGTGAAAAATTCGACTACAATTGTTTAAAAGACAATCTCTGAGCTGGAAATATTTCTTTATCGCTCATATATTAAAACGCTCATCCCAACTGACCTATTAATCGGGACAGTCCGATTTGTAGCATAACAGGTTAGACGTTGTACGTTCGTATTGCACAGAAGAAACATGCATTGCAGATGAGCTGCAGAGTGCCGAAAATTACTTTTCTGGGTGTGCGATTCAAACGGCATTTATTCTTAGACATGACTACAAATACCCAGCGAATGTGATTCAGATTTTGATTGTGAGACAATGCCCTACATTCTGAGTGAAGACCACAAACAAGTAGGATCATAGAAGCATAAAATTGAATTACAATAGAACAATTCTCTAGTTGTAGTAATATCTATGCTAAATAAAATCGTCGTGCAACTTGATAAGATATCAGGCTTCCCTAGAATATGCACAGAAAAAACCTTATCGTTATAGAAGTAGATGAGTTCTCTAGTTTAAAAGAACCAGTATGAACGCCTTACCGAAAAAGTTGTAATCTGAAATAGAAACACGTGAACTGAATGATGTGATCTAAGGATTAGCTAGAACAGATCGACCCGCTAGACGCGGGAACCCACCATTTACTTTCTTTCATAAGGGAAATCTGATAGCGTATGAACACGACTGGTTCAATGATCGCAGACTATGGAGTGACAACCAAGGGGTTTACAAAAGATTATATCAAAGCCAGAACAAGCTTAGACATAGTAGTCTCACGATGAACACCAATATATGATAATCGTAATGAGGTAGTGATGATCACGTGATTTAAGTCGCTTTCACTAGCATGCTCTACGCTTTAAGGTGCGAGTTTTGAACCCAGTCGCTGCCCATGAACTTTGTTGATGATGGTAATGGTGACGGTGGTGGTGGTGGTGACGGTGATGGTGGTTGAACAGTTGAACCTTATGAGTGTATACGATGCATCTGTTCTACATTTCGTCACACTGAGACGCACAGCAAAAATTGGGCATGACCATTCGGCAGAATCGGGAAAGCGGAAGCAAGTGAAATGAATATGAGCTCTCGACAGATTTTATGCATTCCATTCAATGCAATAGATGAACTGAAAACTTTCTAGAACAATACGTCGATTGAAAAAGGGGAAAAACTGATCGGAGTAATTCCTAACCTCGGGGATTACACCAGTTGCGTTTGGGACTGAAATTCGTGTGGTGACTATAACAACAGTGAAAGAATTCAGGAGTTATTCCAGTTCAGATGGACTATTCTATTGATTATAAAAAATTATAGTAAAAAAACAACTCTGATATGACTGGCAGGGGATGCACGCGAGTAGATATTCACGGATTAAAGCGAATAAACGAATCGTCTTTGTTCAGTGCGGTTGACGGGTGTGACGAGCGACCTCTAACAATTAGATCGAGGGTATAACAGATGACGCAGTTTAGGAAAACACTTACTGGTGTAAACACGTGCATGCAGTCTATTCATTACGGATGGTGTAAGTACATGGGCAATGCAAATAAATAGTAGCCGGGGGGGGGCAATCGCCTGTGATATTTGGATTCATGGGAGAGTGAATGGGGAGACGGGGACGATTTGTTCACCAAGCTACGTTGCGAGACTTGATCGAAAGGAGACTTACAATTTTCCGCCGCTGCAAAAGAAAGGGATTACACCAAATGACGAGAAGTGAGAACTGAACAATTCAGTATTGCTTAAAAACGTTTTCAAAGTAATTTTATCGATTAAACACGCAGTTCACTTAATCAAAGTCAACGGTGAAGACAGCTCGGAAAAAAAGATGATTAAACCGAAATGGCCGATACTCTCACACTGATGGTGAGGTGTTTGAAAAGAATGAAGGTTCATGCGTTGTCAGGATTCGTCAATCTGCCTGAATGAACACTACTACTTGGTCCAAAATCTAGAAGCGCATGCTGATTTCGTCCCAGAAGATATCGCACTGGGATAATGACCCCTGAGTCGTGACCATGGCAACAACTAGGTAAGCGTCAGGTCAGTAGAAATTGAAAAAGTAATGCTGTGAATTATTCAATACATACGACGATGTGTCCAGGGAAAACTATGAAGCGTGTGACTACAAAATTCTCGTTATTACTAGTGTGTAACTTTTTGAATTCAAATAGATATACCAAATTGAGCTAAATACGCTGCTGACAGTTGGGTACGAGTAGAACAATCAGTTACAGTTAAAATCATGTAATACGGCAAGGTTAGTAGGCCACTGTTTTAGCAAGAAACCGAATTTTGAAAAGAAATTCAATTATTTCTCTGAAAAAAAAACAGGGCAAGCCTCTAAACAAACTACCTAACAAGAAATTGATTTGACAAAAATCAACATACTACTTGCGAACCTTTTTCAGAAAGTTAAATGTTGAATTTCGCCTATCCGAATTTTATTATAGCTAGTGTGGCACATTTAAAACAGCTCACCTCATCCGGATCATCGATCTAAATGTGAATTAATCACGTCAAAATAAATAGACACTGGTTACACATGCAATTCTCCCTTGAAGTATCGTGAGTGTATATCGCTCAGTTAGGGTACACAAAACCGGTTTTGGATTATTAAAAAGATACAGAACGGCATATTTCATTGTAGCTGGACTGAAAAACAGAATACCATCATTCATCTATTAGAAGTAGTTAATTGTGAAATTTGAAAACAAGCAAACCGGTTCATGATTGATTATCAATTAGGATAGAAGTTAGGATGGTTATCCTTCCGCGTGGGTCAATTCTTACAATGAAATCGACAAATAGGTTTTGCACAAAAAGTCGTCCTTGACCAAAGAATGAACGCGATGATTTTATTTTCTGTATGGATCTTTAGTGGACAGGTAGAAAGGGAAAGACAAATGAGACCTATTGACAGAGAAAAAACTGGTGTACCTTATTTAACGCCCTAACTGTTCATTGACAATGCTAGCTTTTCATTGAAAAAGCGTTGGAGCCTAAAATGACTGGCCCAATTGGACGTCATCGTGCCTGGAAGGACAGAGTTTCGGACACGCAGCCAGTAGAACATTGTAGGAAGGAAAATTGAAAAAAAAACATCCACCTGACAGTGTGTGCAAATTTTTACGTGTGCGTTGACCCTGTTCCGATTTTGATCCGTCTTCACTCAGATCATTCAAGCTAGTATGATGTAACTCGCTTACAGACTAATAGCGATGAGGAAATGATAAACCATCGCATCAGTTCAGTGTCAGTTATGAGTATAGTTAGCTTTGTATCAATTTTATTGACATGTCAGATTTGGCATATCACTGACTTTTTAAAACGGAATCTTCAGGCTACCCTGAAAAGTTGGTCCAGTGAAATTCTGTATGCAGTTTATCTCGGTCGACACAAGACTCGGTCTCGCAAGACGGTGGAGAAAAGAAACCAGTGAGGCACATTCCTATTCTCCAGTTGAAAAGGCAGATATTTATCAATCGGTGTTATGTACAAGCTACTGCATCTGTTGCTCATCTACTCGCAGACCCATACTATCTGGCAGGGAAGCACTGACTTCTTGTATATGATGAGGAACCACTTGGAACAACATCTAGTTCAAAGAGGTCCTAAGAGGTTCTTTGGCAGCTGGGATTTGGAAGGCGAAACGCTTGTAGCCGTGTAGCTTAAATGTATTGTAGTTTGCACCAGCCTGGTGCTAACTCCAAGGATTACAAGGATAAATCACTCATCATCAACGTGTGGGAACTGAAAAATGTCGCCAAAATGTGAGTAACTTGTAACACCAGTGTCCCGAAGCTGATTGGCTATACGATTCTATTAGTTTAATAGACAAGACATCAATTTGGCTCCGAGTATCAATGGTTTATTGGGTTTTACTACAACATTATGCAGTAACCGTGGGACACGCAACACCATCAAATGTACACGAATAGATCCTAGTTGTCGCAAAAGAAATTATAAAATGAAACTAGAGAAAAACGTAAGAACAGAAAGATCAAACAAAAAAAACATGATACTTACCCGAGCCATGCGTAATTCCAAAGCTTGTTTCAAGTCTTCAATGCACATCATCGCGTCTAACAAATCCGATTCAAGCCGATTTCTGGCCTGAAATGAACAGAATGAACAAAAACATCAATTGATTGATTGAATATTGGTTCCAATTGATACTGCCTACTTGACAACCGGATCCGGCAGATGGACTGAGAAAAGTTAACCAAACTTACGTAGAATTCATCTGTAACCGAGTCTGGAAAAGTATGACGGGAACCCCTTGAGGACTGGGACCGAAGTACATCAAAATCGAGTTGTTCATCATGTTGTTCACCTAGTGTAAGACTTCCGGCCGAACTCGCTCGTCGGTTGGCCCCATTCATAACGGGTTAGAGACAAATTATGCGTAGTCGTGTGAATTGATCTGCAATGTAACATCACGCGCACATGCTCGTCAGGTCACCGAAACCGACTCCGACCGAGTGACCAATGGCGCTTCGCCTCTCTATCGAGCACAGGTCTCACAAGTTATCCAATGAGCATCCCTCCCTCCCCCGCCAAAATACAAAACAATAGGCAAAAAGATAAACATCACCAAAATGGCACGTTCAGAGTGAGAACAGTGAGAAGCGACGCAGATGTTCATCACCATGTCGTTTTCTGTTGATGTGGTGTTAAATGTGTCCATTGTGCTAACTACGCCACACACACACACACACACACATACACAGCTTTACTGAATTCGTTTGAGCACAAGTCAAGCCAAGAGACGCTTTACGCACCTAAAGGGTTAATTTTCTAAGCAATTTACAAATGTATACAGTGGATCTATACAAAAATTAAAAATAGAAATGATTTTGAGATTTTCTTCCCGGACAACCCCTAATGCTAGTTTTAATGATTGTAGGATCAACTAAAACACGGGTTAGGCACGGAAAGCCGCAGTATTTCTGCATGTGATTGTGCATGCAGAAAGGAACGGAAATTTAGACAGCGTTCGGGAATTCCAGTTTTCATGCTTTTGTGATGAAAACAGTGCTTGTCGAAAGGCTCGGAAACAAAAAGAAACCAACCAATCAATCAAAGCAGTTCTGTCAATACTGTTGCATTGGTACAAACGTTTGGGGGGGGGGAGGTTGAATCTTTTTTGAATCAGGAATAAAAACAGGAAGGTAATATGACTAGCTGGAAGGATTTAATAATACGGTTAGTTTAATAAGCCTGTATACATAAAAGGAAAGATAATCTGCGGACTTTTGTGAAAACATTTTCAGTGTGATTGGACCAGGACAAGTTATCGACGAGAGTAACATCAAGGTATTTAACATAGAGTCAGAAATGTTGACTTGTCACAGCAAACTGAGGAAGGCCATTACAAAAATTGACATGACAGGATTTATTTTCAAGGCCTGAGGGAATATCAACACTTTTACTGAAACATAAGGGAGAGTGAAAAGGACCTAAAATGAAGTACATTAGGACTGTCTTAGAGAAGAGTGACGGCAAGTTGAACAAGGGGATGAGCGGCCAGTCGGTAAATCATTAGCATACTTGTAAGCAATACAGCTTATGCGAACGAGAAGATTATTTATTTATCAAGAAAAAATAATGGAAACTGGATTGCACGAAAACATCAGAATCAACGATGACAGAAAAGGGCTCTGTACCAATAAATGAAGTGAACGAGGCCGAAAAAGCCAAAAGCCGATGCATAATCAAGAAAAAGCAAACAGTGTCTGCTCCCTTGCCAAGACGGATGCAGAAAAATGCACAATGTGGGCAACAACATCAAGTGTAGAAAGAATCAATCTGCAGAAATGCCGAGGATCAGAGGAGTCACACAGCGATACCACTCAATGAAGCAAAACATTTTCAAAAGCTTTCAGTAGTATTAAGGTGATAGAAATGGGGACGTACAGTGATAAAACTTTCTTGGGCATGGGACTAATTCGAGCTGCCCACCAACAATCGGAAATCCATACTCGGAGAATTACTTGTGAGGGAATGTTTGCGGTATTATTATGATTTTATGGTCAAGAAATCATGTGTTACGTATGGCGCCATATAGGTTGCCGCGGCGAACGATGTTTGCCAAGGCTGGTAGCGATTGGAAAAAGATAAAGGGTGGTCAACCTAAGACCTGGCACGAGGGTATGAAAACCCTAACCAGGAGACTAGGTCACATAGACCTCGTTAGGCTCTCTGGCTGGAGACCTCGGGATGATGGTCACCGATGGTTAGCTACACTGAGTGATATGGCTGGGTGTCGCAAACAGTGGCGCTCGTACTTCCACCCATTATTCTCCTAACACCACTCTGTATGAA